AAAAGTAGGAGACATGGATATGGCAAATATTATGTTGACGACATAGGCATCACCAATAAGGAATGGCTCTTGAGCTTTGAAAAATTAAATGGCGGAATTGTTTACGTGGAGAATGACGTCACATGTAAAGTAAATAGTATATGTTCAATCTATTTGAAAAACAGAAGTGGCACACCCTACTTTGACACATGTCTGGTGTATAGCAAATTTGAAAAAGAACAAAAAAAAAATCTTATATCATTACCTCAGAATATTGTTGTTTCTAGAGTTTGAAATTACTCCTTCAAAAACAATCAGACAGAATCACATGAATGTAAGAAATGATCAACAGGATCCAAAATGTAATTCGAGCCCACCGACTCCACGATATTTCATTAAAACGAATTTGTTGCCTTCAATGGTGCTAAAGGCGTCCAGCAATCGTTTTCCAGGATAGAACGAATTTTCATCTCCTACGGAAGCAGCACAACAATCTGCAGGAGTTGTAACGAACTCAACGAAATGTATTCGACTTCGAAACAATATCAGAACGAGAGAGAGGAGAATAAGATTCAACGCACAGAAAGTTTGCAATGAAAATGGTGTAATTTTTCTGGCTGCGGGGCAGGTTATTTATAGACTTGTTCGTGGCCATTCGAACACCCTTCAGAACAATCGTCACTGTTCAGGCAGCCTCCAAAACTCCAACAGACATGTTAATTCAAAATTGCGTCTGTTAAGTTGGTTAACAGTCGACGGTTTAACACGGACTCGGACACGTGCCGAGCGGACGGATGGTGGCGGCTCGTGCGTGTGGGCTTATGATCGAACCCGATAGAATATAGGTCTTCCCCCTTCTAAAGACTATTGGGCCCAAACCCAATTCCCAAACTTGCACCATATAAACCACACCAACGTTTTCTAACTTTCCTATGTGGGATAAGTGTTTGGGCAAATCAAATTCTTCACTAATTCATAGTTTCAAGTGGGTTACTTTGACATTAAATGGTTTTCGATAAATAAATATACCACGTTCATCACCTTACGGAATAGAGCGTGAATATGCTAGGTTCCGTATTAATTCAGATGTGGGTCTCAACGAAATTTGAGCTCAAAGTTGACCCATTTCATAACAATTTTTCCAACAATCCCCCACATGCTTCAATAGAATCACACGGATGACACGGTGCTAGAAAAAACAATTTGTACTATTTTCAAGATATTTTAGTTTTTGAATCAACAGATTTAGTCATTAAAAGACTAAAGTATGCGGACCAATGAGATTGGGATGTGCATGTGACAAAGCTTTGCATGGATTGGTAAAGCTAAGTGTGAAAACTTGCAAATTAAAATTTTGTGGACATTGTGTTACTAGAGAGCAACAAGAGTGACTTTCTGCACTACAATCCAATGCATTGAAGGTATCTAGTTGACTATTCACTCTGATGTTTGGGGAATGTCGGAAACAACTAATTCAGTGAGGGTTACACAGTACATATGTACCATAATTTTTAAAGTATGTCAATATGATGAAATTTGCCCGAAACTTCATAGTTAGAAGTACAATGAAACATGGGGTGGCAAAATGCATGAATCTGACTTTTCTTGAAAATGTTCGGTATACGTTATCCAATTCTAGGTTGAACAAAGTATTTCGGACCGAGACAGTTGTATGTGCACAGCCTACCGACTTCTACAGTTAATAGTGTAACACTCATTTAGATGTGATGTGTAAACATGCAAATGATGACGGTTCTTTACATGTTTTTTTTTGTTCCACTACTTGCTATCATGTAAAAGAATATAAATTGGATGCGAGGGCAATAAAGTAATGTTCCTAAGAGTCGGCTAAAAAATAAAGGGATAACATTTTTAGTACCATAATATCCGATCTTAATTGGGATCGTAAATCCCAAGTTTGTATATGAAGAACGAATCCAATTGTATTTGGTGACTATAATGGATTTCTTCTGCTGCAATGGTGAAGTTCCTACTGTTAAGATTTGGGGTCTATCTTAATAAGGTCAACCTTATTAAGATAATTGGCCCAAGATCTATTTAATTTGATAAATATTTCGATATTTAACTGATGTGGAATTTATTCCATTAACATGCCCCTGCAAGATGGTGATTCTTTTTGAGCAGACCAATTATGAAATTCGTGTGCTCATTTTTGAGACTTAATCGGATCGAATAGCTCGTTGGAGCTTATTGAGCTCTAGTACCATGTTAAGATTTTGGGTCCATCTTAATAAAGTCAACCTTATTAAGAGAAGTGATTCAAGATCTATTTAAGTTGGTCAATATTTCGGTATTTAACCGATGTGAGATTTATTCCATTAACATGCAAGTTTGGGATCCATCTTAACAAGGTCAACCTTGTTAAGAGGAGAAGTCCAAGCTTTTTATAAATTGATATTTATTTCAGTATTAAACCGATGTGGGATTTATTCCATTAACGCCTACATCTATCATGTATCATTAAGGGCTTGTTTGACATGGCCTTGAAAAAGTTAAAGGGTACTTTTTCTAATATGTTTGGATAATTTTCTTAAAGTATTTTGCTTGATTAGACGAGATATTAAAGAAAGTTGATCTAGCGTGACTTCCTTAACTATACTTCTACAAAAGCAAAATATGAAGTTGTACAATAAATGTTTTAAAAAACATTTCAATTAAATTTCAAATAATATAAGTTTTTACGAGAACATGGTTTTGGCTATATGCAACGGAATACAAGAGTGAGCACAAAAGGGTAAGCGGCTGATTTCACTAAAGATAAAGGCATAAAGCATGAATTATTGTGGTGTATTATATTGTGACCACGGGGTTTTACCATGTAACAGATCATTTTAAAAGTGTGTATAATTGTTTAGAACAGAAAGGACATAAGAGAATAATATGATACGTTTGGTAGAGATTTTTGAAAAGTCAAAAATTATTTTTTTAAATTAAAAAATTGCTTTTAAATATATTTGGATAATTTTCTAAAAGTATTTTGTGTGTCTAAAAGAGAATTCAAAAAAAATCGATTTAAAGTAACTCTTAAAGAATTAATTTTATAAGAAGCAAAAGCAAAGACGAGTGTCAAACATGTCGCAAAATTTGTATATTGCATTATTGCTTTCTAATTTGAAAAGGAAACTTTACAAAAGAAAAAACTTTTACACCTTCGCTCAAATTACGCTTTCCAATGTGCGTTTACTCTAGTGCAAACCACTCCACTCAAAAAAAAAAAAAAAAAAGGACCGACATCGCCAGCAAATTTAATACACTAATTTTATGTTTAATATAATAAAATAAATAGTACAAAAGAATATTAAATTCATGTCAATTGTATTGTCAAATATATACTAAAAAATAAAAGGTTGAAAAGTTAAATAGTACGATATTGTGAAAATATAGAAAATCAATGAGTAGAGTGTGATTGAGATTCCACCACTTCCACTTAAGTTGTTTAAAATCTTAGAAGGGGTTGCGTATAATTCTATCCCATCTGATATACCTAATACGTAACGCATATTCTTCACTATTTTAAGCCTCATTTCATTAATTCTTTCTGATATTAATGATTCAATACTTGTGCACGCAACTTATCATGACAAACTGATGACAAAGTTGACCCATCTAATAGTATTTACTCATCTAACTCTCCAAACTCTTTAAATGAGATTGCATTTGCCACAGGCGAAGCCACAATTTCACAGAAAATTAGCTTTTTTTTTTTTTTTTGCCCTTTCTGAAAGTTTACATAAAGTAGATGATTTTATGGTTCATTTCAGTCGTGGCAAAAAGGGATGATAGAGAAGGTGAGGTTGAAATAAAAAATGACCTTGAAGGGGTGCATTGGTTACATGATTTTATGGGTTTCGAGGATATGTGTGCACTCATTAACAATTACGCACAATTTTTTATTTATATTTTTGAAAATCTAAATAGAGAATTGATGATTTCTTGCTTCAATTCAACCATGACCAAATGGGATGATAGAAAAGACAAAGATGAAATAGAAGATCACCTTGAAGGGATAGATCGAATAGGGTGGATATTGAGGATCTCTTAGAGCTCATTTTGAAATCTTAATAAAGAATTGACTAAACAATGTTACAATTTCATAGAATTTTTAGTTTTAAATTTTTTATTTTATTTTTATTTTTATTTTTTTTAAGTTTAGACAAAGAATTTATTATTTTCTACTTCAATTCAACCATGGCTAAATAAGATAGAGATGGCCTTGAAGGGGTTGATTTTTCAGGGGTTTCAAGGGTCTCTGAAATTTTAAAATTTTGAGAAAGAATCAACTAAACAATGTTACAATGCAGAAATTTTTAAGATTTTTTAATCAAAATATTTTGTGTCTTAATTTTTGATCTCACAATAGAAAATACTTGGCTCCACCATTAATGTTTGCTATTATGTAATGCTTTGAATAGAAAATCCTTACTGTCACGACTTCTTTTCCCTTCAAAATAATCAAGTAAAATGAATTAATAAGCTAGCTTAAAATGGTCACGCACATACTTCTTTTGTATCATGATTCATATAACGTTCCCTTTTAATTATGATAAATATACAAAAAATTAATATGAACGCGTCTATTTATCAAATTCAACTTACCAAATATATCGCTACCAACCCACTACTACCTGAAAGGAACCTCTCATTTCGTGCAATTAGGACACATGAAATTTTGTGAGCCATGGGAACCCAGAAAGGAATATTCTACCCAAAGTTGGGGATGTGCTTTACCAGTTGGATTATGACAATATTTTACCCAAAGTGGCCTACTAATTAAATGTCGTAGTGACCATCCGATCATCAGTCGGACTCGAAACTGACCAAATCCAGCGGCAGAAATCAATCTTGATTTTTCTAGAGACAAAAAATGAATTTTAGTGGCTTTGCTTTAACAAACCACAAACTGTTCAGGGGTAATATTCCGCGGAATCAATTTTGTGTACTGGATTCAATTCCAAGGGGCACCTGGCATTTCAATTCCTATATATAGCCCTCTTTCGAGGAAAACATAGTACCAAGACTTTTGAAGCCAAACATATCCTTCAGAAACCTCAAACTTTTTGAAACCTCGAAAATGGCTGGAATTGTGGTGGTTTTCGACTTTGACAAGACGATAATTGACTCGGATAGTGATAATTGGGTTGTCGATGAATTAGGCGCCTCTGATTTCTTCAATCAACTTCTTCCCACCATGCCTTGGAATTCTGTAATGGTGAGTTCTATTTTCAAGATTATATGTTTCTCCACTTTTTTCAGTACATTAAAATAGATATTACCGAACACAATAAAGAGGAGTATTTTGCATATTGAACATGTTAAATTCTACATGTTCGAGTAAAGTAACTCCACATTGTGGTTAGTATACAAGTGAACAAGAACATGTCCGAACTAGATGCGTCAATTTGGTTTTGCTAGACCAACGACCCATTTCGAAACTGGCTCATTCCATTGTGGGAAGTAGGTTACTTCAACAATTTGGAATAGCCCTTGTAGCTTGGTTCATCTTGGGCCATGTCCCTACAACTTTTCGACATAGCCCTTGTGGCTTGGTCCAGCAATGGCCATAAGACCCTATGGCTAGGCCATAAGTCAACCTCCATTGACCATCCTACAATTTAGGTAGAGTTCCCTCATATCATAAGGGTAATTAGTACTAAACGTTTTTATCTTTTAATATTATTATGCAGAACGTTCATATCTTTCAATTTTTGACATTTTCATCCATATTTTCACATTTCATTGTGAAAATCATCATTTTTATCCAATTTCTCAATAAAAAAAAAGGTAAATTGATGAGCATACCCTCCTATTTAGATTTAACAAAAAAAAAAAAGGAAAAGAAAAATTAAACAACAAATTGCAATCATACTCCCAAATTTTTTTAAAAAGTGCAAATGGGTCTAAATAAATTATTAAAAGGGTATGGCATTTTTATCTTTATTTTCACATTTCATTGCGAAAATCATCATTTTCATCCATTTTCTCAATGAAAAGCTATAAAATGACAAATATTCCATCCTCTTAAAGAAAAAAAAATAAAAAGGTAAAATGATGAGCATACCCTCTAACAACAAATTGCAATCATACTCCCAAATTTTTTTAAAAAGTGCAAATGGGTCTAAATAAATTATTAAAAGGGTATGGCATTTTTATCTTTATTTTCACATTTCATTGGAAAATCATCATTTTCATCCATTTTCTCAATGAAAAGCTATAAAATGACAAATATTCCATCCTCTTAAAGAAAAAAAAATAAAGAACAAATTGAACTATACTCTTAAATTTTTCAAAAATGTACAAATAAGTTTATGAACGTCTTACACAATAATATTGAAATGTAGGGATGTTTTGTGCTAATTATCCCGTAATGTGTCTACGGAACATGAATATACCTAAACTAGAGGTGTCAACCGAGTCATGTAAGGTGGTTTGGCTTAGCACAGTTGCTAGTCTTTAAGGCCAGCTCATGACTCGACTGGTTTCCGACAAAAAACTGAGCACATTTTGGTTGTTAATTAGAGGATTTTATTTATTTATTTATTTTTTAATTTTTAAATTTGTTGTTCTATTAATAAATTACAGGACAGGATGATGAAGGAGCTCCATACACAGGGCAAAACCAAAGATGATATTCAAGAGGTACTAAAACGGGCCCCGATTCATCCTCGGGTCGTCCCAGCGATCAAAACCGCTCATTCTTTAGGGTACAAGTTCTCTCTCTCTCTCTCTCTCAAAATTTTCATATTTCTCTATCTAAAATTTAACTGTTTTCTTATAGTGTTTTGCACTTTGATGTTGAATTTAGGTGCGATTTAAGGATAGTGAGTGACGCAAACCTATTTTATATCGAAACAATCCTCGTTCATCTCGGAATTAGGGATTGTTTTTCTGAAATAAACACAAATCCAGGCTATGTAAATGAAGAAGGGAGGCTCAGAATCTTACCTTTTCATGATTTTCAATCTTCTTCTCATGGCTGCAATCTTTGCCCTCCCAACATGTGCAAGGTTTGATACTTTCTCTATTCTATATTTTCGTGCTATAGTTTAAGACATGCTTTGCTTTATTATTTTGTTGAGTTCTGTCCATTAATGATATATCACAAGATGACTTTTGAGTCATGCAATTAAAAAAAAAAAAAAGAAATTGTTTGTAGAGAAATATTAGTCGAAATTTGTTTATGACCCTACCAAATCTTGTTAAATAATAGGTTAGAGATCATAGGAGTCTACGACCTTTTGCTGTCGAGACTTGAACTTGCAATCACTGCTTGTAATATCGAACAATTTCATCAAAAAACTTCAAATTGCATGAGTAATTAAAGAAGCTTATTATCTTTGAAACGTTACATTAGCAAAAGCTCACAAAATATATATTCTCTTAATTTTCAAAACCAGGGCATGATTATCGAAAGGATTCAGGCCTCGTTAGGCAAGGAAAGGAAGAAAACGATGATTTATCTAGGCGACGGGAGTGGAGATTTCTGCCCGAGTTTGAAGCTTAAAGATGAAGATTATGTCATGCCAAGGAAGAATTTTCCAGTTTGGGATTTGATATGCCAGAATCGCGCACTCGTAAGAGCAAAAATCCACGAATGGAATGATGGAGAAGAACTTGAGAGCATTCTCCTCAAACTCATCGAGACAATTTCCCTTCAAGAAGGTCGTGCTAAATCGGCTCAGTTGTTATTAGTCGATTGCAAGATGGAGACAATTCCGATGGCAGCTCATGAGACCTTGCCCCAAGCCCTCCCGGTTACCCAGTAGTGTACTCTCCATTTTATTGCAATGAGCTAATCGAATAGTAAAGTTTTGGCCATTGCTATTTAGATTTGGATTTGCGTAATGTCAGTTTTATTGTCGTGTGTCTTTCTGATGATGCAAGAATATGCTCTAACATGGAAATCAAGGATTCATCGGTTAAGCTTCCGTTGTGTAAAATTTATAACGCAGTTGATAAGGCTAAATTAAAATTTAAATTAATCAAACAACCTTATAACTGTACATACTAATTAACACATTTAGACCAATTTGATTTAGATAAAAATCATATTTTTGATAAATTTTGATAAAAATTGATGAAATTTGAGATTGAAAAATTGTAAATTCTATAAAATTTACATTTGAAAATGAATTGAAAATAAATAAATTTTAGAAATTTTGGACCAAAGATGGACTAAATTTACTAATCACTTATTATCTATACGGCTCACAATCTGCAAATACTTAAAAGCACTCCCAAACGAGGACTAAATTACAAATGTAATACACAATGGGCAACAATCAGTTGGCAACATTTATTGATATAAAATGATCTGTTGTGCTATGTTTAATAATGGTTTACATACTAATTTACATACACATAATGTGGTAAGATATGATCTGATATAGTTACTTTTGACAACCTCCCGAAGTGATTGTCCCAATGACTCACAAGGTCTTGCTCATTACATATTGGGGCACATAGTCCTCGGGGTAATACACCCGAGGAGTGGCGATTTGCATCATCGTGATATTCCTCGGGCATAAGTCCTCGAGCATCCTTCAATATATGGGGTTCATGAGTCCTCAAGCTATTCCCTTCATACTGAACCCCCCTTTTGTCTAGCCCATAAGAAGTCTTACCTTCTAAGAACTTTAATATGATTTAAACACCTCAACCCAAGACTCCTACGTCCACAAGAACTTTATGTCAACAATAGCTTCATTGGTCATGCAATTATATTACAAATAAAATACTATTATCAAGTAAGACTCTATTGGATACGAAAATCCAACTAATTCAATCCTACTAGGGGTACACTACCTACCTCTATAAATACATGACCCAAGTCCATTATTCAGTACGCTTTTACATACTATTTCAATAGACGTTCTCATATAAATTCCCTGTCTGACTTAAGCATCAAAGGGGTGACGAGAACACATCTCGTTGCCTTTGTTTCAAGTACCAGAAGGCTCTGTTCGTACTCTTTCTCGGTCCTCAAGTTCGGGAGGTCTACCTGGTACAATTTTTGATAGCATCATTGGCGCCATCTGTGGGGAACGCTTCCAAAAGCCATGGTGAACACACATTCGGGTCCAGCAAGCTTATTCGTTCCAAATCCTCTTCCTCCCCCTGAAAGTCATCATGTCCCTCAAGAAGAATCATCAGAGATGCCAACGCCTCAGCCAGCCTTCGTTACCGCTGAAGCTTTCGAAGAGCTCTGCCAACAAGTTGCCACAATAACTCAGTTATTGAGCCAGAGAAATTTTTGCCCATCATATACACCTACGCCTGAAGGTGGTTTATTAATGGATGCTCGAGCTCGAGCTCGAGCCCCACAACCCGTTCTTGACGAGGGTGGGGTTGGAACCTCGGGTGTACCCCATATGGCATTGGACTCGGGAAAAGTAACGATAGAGTCTGGTGAACTCGCTAAGATCATTCAAGAGGAAGACAGCAAGCCTAATGCAGATGGCTAAGGGTACAATAGGCTTTACCCTTAAAACCCTATTCACTCCTGATGTATTATCATTCCCCCTATCGGACAAATTCAAGTACCCTCGTATAAAATAATATGATGGAACTACCGACCCTATCAACCATCTCAATATCTATACCGACATCATGAACCTACAAGTTATGCCAAACTAGGTGATGTGCAAAGCTTTTCATCAAACGTTGACCCACGCAGCCAGGGACTGGTTCTCAACCTTAGATCCCAATTCCATGGCCTCTTTCTCAGATCTGGCCAACAAGTTCTCTACCTTCTTTGCCAGTAGTAAGCGCATCAAAAAGATAGCGGCTTCCCTCATGCAACTTCGTCAAGGGTAGAATGAAACCATACGTGACTTCATGAAGAGGTTTAATAAAGAAAGACTTCAAATCCCAGATCTCCATATCATAGCAGCAGTTTCTGCCCTCACACATGCTATAAGATATGAGGCATTCAAGATGAGTTTGTCAAAAACTCCCCTAAAGTCAGTGACCAAGTTTCTAACCCGATGAGAGAAATACATTAATATGGAAGAAACATTGAATCCAAGGAGAGTTGGTCCGACTTATGATGGGACCAGCATAAGAGGCAGCGTGAGCTGAATCTACAACAAGACCTTGCGAGAGGAAAGCAGAAGCAGGGCACACCACCAACGCTTACACATCTAAATACCTCTAGGTCAAACATATTGATAGAAATTAAAGATATGAAGGAGTTCAAGTGGCTACTGAGGTTGAAATCTCCCCCTAAGATTAGGGACAAGAACAAGTACTGTGACTACCACCGTAACCATGGGCATACAGAGGATTGCATAACATTACAACGTGAGATTGAAGCTTTAATAAAAAGAGGATTCCTAAAAGAGTATATCAGGCACGACAAGTTTCCCAGGAATGATCGCAACAATGGGAAGACTACAGAATCTGAGGGAGGTAACCAGCCAACAGCAGGTACCATCAACATTATAATTGAGGGGATTGCCTCAGTAAGAGATTCAAATAGTGGGTGCAAACAATATGCCCGTCGACACAGTTCCATACCAATGACAGCTCCCAACGACATGAAAGATATCATATTTGGATCGGAGGACTCAAAAGACATATCATACCCCCATGATGATGCCTTGGTCATATCTGCCATCATCGCCAACTTTGAAGTAAAGAGGGTCTTGGTTGACAATGGAAGTGCAGCCAATGTGCTGTCCTAAGAGGCCTTCATGAAGAAGGGTATTTATGTTAACTAGCTCAAGGTAGTCAAAACACCACTCCAGGGATTCGGGGGGTGGAACAATCATCCCGAAAGGAATCGTTAATCTTCTCCCTAATGTTGGGCTCAGGACAAAAGCAGGTGACAGAAGTCATTCCCTTCCATGTAGTCCATGCTTCGATGGCCTACAACACCATCATCGGGAGACCACTGCTCAATAAAATTAGGGCCATTGCATCCACCTTCCATCTTGTTATGAAGTTTCCAACAAGTGAGGTATAGGATAGTGCGTGGCGATTAAAAACCAGCAAGGCAGTGCTATGTTACTTGTGTTCGAGAAATGAGCACTGATGTCATGCAAGAATCGACCTCTGAGCTCGAGCTTGAGAACCAGGAAAAATTTGCCCCAAAGAAGAACTGATATAGGTCGGGGTCGAGCATAGTGAAGATTGATGGTCGCCTAGGAAATTTTTGTTTTGTTTCCATTTTAGCTTGTTTAGTTTAGTCTACTTAGGTTTGCATGCCCTATGCTTTTTTAGCTTGTTTACCTTTATTCGGGCTAGTAGGCCCTATGCATTTTCTTATTTACTTAAATAGTTATTTTGACAAGGCCTACAAGCTTACTTTGTTTCTAGAAGGTAGGAAAGTTTATATAAAGAGTGTTGGGACCACACGACATATGTTTTCTTCTAGAAGGAATGCACTAAAAAAGATATGTCACGAGCAGACACCAAAAAAGACCTGTCATGCGCAGGCACCAAAGCCTTGCCCAGCACAAGTATCAAAAGCTCTATCACGCAGGCACCAAAGCCCTATCGATAGCACGCACCACCAAAAGCCCTATCACGAGAAGGCACCAAAGCCTTGCCTCACACAAACATCGAAAGTCCTGTCACGTGCAGGCACCAAGCCCAGTCACGAGCAGGCACCAAAGTTTTGCCTCACGTAAGCACTCAAACCCTTGCCCCCGAGGAAGTACTCCAAGCCTTATCCTGCGCAGATACTCTTAGCCTCACCACAGGTAAGCACAACCAAGTCCCGCAATGCATCAAGTAAAAAAACCCGACCACGGTCAATCCCGAGCTTGTCAGGCTCAACCTATTCTCAAATCCTTAGGAATAGGGCTCGAGATGTTATTTCACGTTGGGCTCGAGGGCCTGTCCTCGAGCTTAATACATTCTCAAATCCTAACCATAAGGGCTTGGGATATTATTTTTAAAATGGGCTCGGCTATGTCCTCGAGCTAAATTAATTGTCAAAATCCCAACACAAGGGCTCGGGATATTATTTTTAAAATGGGCTCAGGCTATGTCCTCGAGCTCAATTCATTGTCAATATCCCAACCACAAGGGATCGGGATATTATTTTCAAATGGGGCTCGAGCTATGTCTCGAGCTCACACACATTGTCAAATCCCAGCCACAAGGGCTCGAGATATTATTCTAAATGAGGCTTGGGCTATGTCCTCGAGCTCAATTCATTGTCAAATCCCAGCCATAAGGGCTCGGGATATTATTTTTAAATTGGGCTCGGTTATGTCCTCGAGCTCAATTCATTGTCAAAATCCCAGTCACAAGGGCTCGGGATATTATTTCACATTGGGCTCGAGGCCTATCCTCGAGCTCAATGCATTTTCGAATCCCAGCCACAAGCGCTCGGGATGTTATTTCACGTTGGGCTCGGGGGGCCTGTCCTCGAGCTCAATACATTCTCAAATCCCAGCCACAAGGACTCGGGATATTATTTTTAAAATGGGCTCGGGCTATCCTCAAGCTCCATTCATTTTCAAAATCTTAGCTACAAGGGATCAGAATATTATTTTCAAATGGGGCTCAAGATATGTCCTCGAGCTCACTCACATTCTCAAATCCCAGCCACAAGGGATCGAGATATTATTTTAAATGAGGCTCGGGCTATGTTCTGGAGCTCAATTCATTGCCAAATCTCAGCCACAAGGGCTCGGGATATTATTTTTAAATTGGGCTCGGCTATGTACTCGAGCTCAATTCATTGTCAAAATCCCAGCCGCAAGGGCTCGGGATATTATTTCACATTGGGCTCGAGGCCTACCCTCGAGCTCAATGCATTTTCAAATCCCAGCCACAAGGGCTCAAGATGTTATTTCACGTTGGGCTTAGGGCCTATCCTCGAGCTCAATACATTCTCAAATCCCAGCCACAAGGGCTCGGGATATTATTTTTAAATTGGGCTCGGACTATGTCCTCGAGCTCAATTCATTGTC